ACTGGGGCGACAGATCTCAGCCCCCTCACTGGGGCTTCCTAACTCTGCCCCTCACTTGGGGCTAGCACACCGCCCCTGACTGGGGCAACAGATCTTAGCCCCCTTTTGCTGGGGCTACCCCCTCACTGGGGCTCCATTACTCTGCTCCTGCCTTGGGGCTAGCACACCGACTTTCACTGGGGATACAGATCTTGGCCCCCTTCACTGGGGGTCCGGGGCAGGTTTTGCTCCCTGGTGGGCTCTGGTGGCCATAGCTGTACCTGGCCCCCAACCCTCCCTCTCAGGGTCTCACACCCCCACAGGGATCAGGTGGTCTTGGCTGTACCTGGGCCCCACTTTCCTCCTTGGGGCTTGCACCCCCTGCAAGTACTTCTGATGGAACACAAACCCACCTGAAGGTGAGGGCTAGGGTTAAGGCACCCTGACCTGTCTTTCACCAGTAACTGCCTTGGCATTTCCTGGGGGCTCCCACGCCACTGGGAGCCCCACCAGGCCACCCACTCCCAGTAGGGTGCTGTTTTAGGTCATGCCCAGGACCAAGAGCCTCCTAATCATCCCCTACAGCTTCTCCCTTACCTCCAAATGATACCAGCAGCCCAAAGGCCAGGCAATGTTGTTGCCTGACTTCCAGCAGCAAAACTGCCCCGTTTATATGGGCAGCCCTAGGTCCAAAATGGCTGCCCTCATCAGGCACCTGGCAGGTGCTAGCGTCAGGCCCTTACAGTGGCAGGCACCCGCAGTGCCCTGCCACATAGTTATTCAGGTATGTTACCTTTTATAGTGATCACTAGGTTCAATAAAAACACAGGTGTATGTGAAGGAGAAGAGCTAAACAATAAACTTGGTTGTGGAGTGGTAGAAACCTCTGTGGACTGTTGGTTTCTTTCTAACAGCTACTGCCTAACTAAGGGACTATTTTAAAATTCCCAACTCCTCTAAATTAGGGAGTGCCTCTAAATTATTACTTCTTTCACTACATCTTTCCTCTAACAATAACTACAAAAAATAAACACAAAAATTAACACATCTACAGAGGAGGGGTTGCTAGCATGTCACACTGCAGTGAGTGCACCATGCACTTTCCTGTCCATTCTATCCCCCCCACCCCCACTTTTGCAACCATTTTAGCAAGTCTCTGAGAATGTTTAAGGTTTCACTTTCTTCTTAGACCAATGAAATAACAGATCTGATTTCTGATTTGTTTTTTATGGGCAATTTTCCCTTCAAGTCTTGAAAGACTCGTGTCCTAATACTGGGATCCAACTGACATATACTTTTGACAGCTGTGCTTCTGCATATAAAACAAAGTTGATTGCTACAAACTCCTGAGGCTGATTTCTTTTTCTTCATGATGTTATTTGCATTTGTATCCATTGGAACATTCCTTTCCATAAGACATGACTGCTTCTTGTGTTCTGGAACAATTGGTTTCTTAATAAGACTGGGTCATGAAGGCCAGGAGGGTCATCAGGAGGCATGAAACATTGTGGTCTTCTACTGGCTGCGCAATTAGATACAGTTTTTCACAAGTCAACAAACCTATAATTGATGTCACCTCCCTAGGTACCACAATGAATGCAAATTTCTTTACTCTGTTTTTATATTGAATGCTAGTGTTGCATCTCCCTTTGGCTGGTATATTAGTTCCTGACTGGTCAGTTATTTTGATGTTTGTTGGACTCACTTTTCATTTCAATTTTAATTTTCTATATTAATTATCTGGTTAAATATTAACTTGAGTGCCCATGTTCAACTCTAATGAAGCAATTGCTCATTGCACCTCCACTGGCAAAATCCAGTACCTTTCATCTATTCTGCTTGATTTTACCATAACTATATAAAATTCTTCCAGTATGCTCTCAATTGTATGTACTTAGGGTGTTCGTGTTTGGGATCTGCAGCACCTGGTAAAATGGTTACTCTTGTTACAGTTTAAACAGCTTTCCAAATGCAGGGCATTTGAGGCCATGTTGCCTTTCACAGTCAGTAAAGCTAATTTGCTTTCTCTCCCTTAGTAGTCTCCTTTCCAATGAAAAATGTCACCCTGTGAGTTGGCTTCCTACCAATGGAAAATTGCACCCTGTAAGGTGGCTTTTTCTGGCCACATTCTTTTATGCTGACTGAAGGATGACCCCTCTTGGTGTACTCAATTCTGCAGCTTGGGCTTTCACACTTTCTGCTGCCCTGCACATTTGAATAATCTTTTCTAAGAGCAAGCCTGAAGCTTTTTCACACCCTATTAAATAATAGGCAGAACAATAGGAAAGAAGTAATTTCCCTCCAAAGTCCTTTCCTCTTCTAATATACCCTGACATGGCCTTTGCTTCACAAGCTCTTGGTCCAGTTCTCATTCAGAACTGCTGAAAAGGCTACTTCACATCTGTTCTGCAGGGAGCTGCTTGCAGGTGGTCCTTTCCCTTTGCCCCTTCCGAGTTCCTCTACTCTGGTTTTCATTCAACTTCACAGCAAAGAGAAATAGTATCTCAGCCTGAAAGCACCTCTGCTTAAAATGTTTAATGGAACTCCTGATGCCAGCTCTGCTGGCTACCAAGATGAAAACACTAGTGGCAGATTAGTGATGTCTTGCATATAGTACAGTGAACCATAAAACCTCTTGACACACTGAAGTATCCAGCACCTCATTGTAGGAATCAGCTAGAATGGAAAGTTCAACCACAGAGGCTGCAAAACTGGTAAGGAACCTCCCAAATGCTCAAATCCTAATGAAAGAACACCAATCCTTTCACTGCTGTTAACAGAGTGGAGGTCTACACTGCACGAAGAAGTAGATTTTGGAAAACACCAGGAGATGTATGGGCCAACTGAGATGGCAGCAGATTGGGAGAAGGATACAGGACATACCTGGAATAGTGGGAAAGGAAGATCAGCTATTAAACTGCAACTCAATCTTCTCATCCATATATATAAAAACTTAAGGTTTGTCTTAGTTAATAGGGGAAGCATTCAAACAATAAACATAAGATTAATATTATCTAGGTCATTCCAGGTCCATGGCTAGTAAATGAGGCAGCTGAAAGCATATGGATGATTACTAAGCTTTAAGTTGTACCACGTTCCCAGAGCTGAGCAAAGCATGCCAACAAGTGGTGATACAAAAGTCACTGGCCTTTTCTAGTCTGAAAACTAAGTCTTTATTTTTGAGGATTACAAGAAATATGAAATCTCCTTCAGAGTCCAGGATCCCTCTTTGAAAATATGCTGTGCCTGTCAAAGTAATTTAGGAGGCAGGGTAGGTTTGCACCTTATAAACTAACCAAAGTAGCACAAGTTTATATATATACAACACACAAATATATATATATATATATATATAAACACAAAATATATATATTTTTATATAGCACAAGTTTGTGTGAGCTGAAGCTCACTTCATCAGATGCATCAAAGTAATTGCCACAGATCCAGCTCCTTTTTCAAACAATGAACCAGGATTTGGTCTGGTTGGTAAAACACTGAGTTATCAGGTCATTCCCATTAAAACTCATATAACTAAAATAGCTTGCTCCTACAGGACTTAAGTCCATACCACAGGATTTAGGCCCCAAATGTTTATATTGATTTTATCTCAAATGTCTGAGATAAAAACTCACTTAATCTGTAGCTTGTGGTACTGTTTTCAAGTACAGTAAAAGCCAGTTGTATTCAAAACAGTCTAGCACTGTGTTACAAATGACCCATACAAGTCACTGCTTCAATCCACTCAAATCCAAGAGAAAAATAAATGTGTAGGTGATTGATTCACAAATGGGTAGTATCTAGATATCAAATATAAAGACATAACATTATTCACATTCAAAATATTATCAGTCACGAAGAGAAACTGACACTCCTCATGTCTGATTAGAAGCTTGAAAACCCCCGAAAATAAAATGAAGAACAGTAATTGCTTTTACACCCCACAGACTGCTGAAGAAATGTCTATTTCAAATACACAATATGAAATCAAATCGAACTCAAGCAATCTAATTCCCATTAGCTGGAAAAGTGACATCTTTTTGTGCAAGAGTGTAGCTGACACTTGAACAGAGAAACCTTTAAAGAACAACCAGTTGGTAAAAACACTTAGGCAGAGATTCAGTAAATACAACTGACTTGTGAAACAGGAATAAAACAATACCTCAGCAAGGAGATAGATGGATCCTTTGATACTGCAATGCCCATCTTTTGAGAAAAAATAAAACAGAAATGTTTTTTTAATACACATAATTTTGAATGCATTTCCTCTGCTGATCTACCAGGAAACTGTTCCCTGAGTTAATTTAGCGACAACACAATTTCAAAGAAGTATTTAACCAATTGGCAGAGCTTGCTCTTGTGTTCTTGACCTGTCGGAAAGCCCTCACACCTTATCACAAATGGGTAGCCAAGCTCAAGTGACACTTTTTGCTTAACCACCTACTTCCAGACAGTCTACTGTTAAAGTGATGTCACCCTCACTGCCAGCAGGCCCACCCTTTACTGGCAGGATCAGGAAAGGTTGAACACACATGCAGGCTTCCTTAACTCCTAGAAGCTGAGCTCTCCAAGTTATAACTGCTCCCAGAATTATTATAGTAAAAACCAAGACCCGGTTGTGTAAGGACCCATAACAAGAAAAATTAAGATGGGCCCCACCTCCAGAGTTATAAAACAGCAAAATGTAGGTATAACAATCAATTTGTGGAATGAGGCTTGAACAGTGACAGAAAGAGATAGTTAGATAGACTATCAATGTGCATACCTAGCTTGTTTCTATTGAGTTCCCCTGCAACAAACTAATAAGATTGTCATTTGCTGTTTTACAAAAGCGAAATATGATAAACTAATTCTATTTCCATTTTAGAAACTGTGGGGATTATGAGCTGAACGAGTTTTGCACAGAAATATGACCATGCCCTTGTTAAGACATGTATTGCATTTCAGGCTTCAATTTTGCTACTTTAGTGTATTACTGCCTCTAGATGTCTCTGTTCCAGTATTTATAGAACTTCATTTTCCAGGTAGCCCACACTGGAAGACTTGCCTCTAATTGCCACTGGAAGCTTTCAGAATGCGTGAGTGTAAATACTATCTGTGTTATGTCAGAGCTGTTATGTGATCTGCTTTCTGGTTTACTGCACACTGGTAAGCCTATAGAACTGCATAATTCCAATGATGCTCCTGTTCTTTTTTAAATGGCATCACCTATTTGTTTTAAATAGCATCACTATCTGTTTTAAATAGCAGATGTGTGGGACACACATCTGGCTTTCTACTGCAAATGTATGGAACCTGACAAAATATTTTTCCTTACATTGTATTGTAAACAATGCTCTGGATTATTATCATTTTGGCTAAAATGAGAAGGGAAGAGAAAAAGGATTTTTAATTTGGAGAAGCCTAATTGTAGACTATGATTTTGGGACTCAGCATATTATGCTTCATTAGCAGAATGAGGAAGCTGATTTTATTAACGTGAAAGGAATTATAAGCTTTTCTTCTTCTCCTTTGTTTTTAAAGACAAGGTCCAATTTTTTACTTTAATCCAGGTGGCAAATTCAAGGCCACAGGATAGGACCAAACCAGAAAACAATGCAAATCCCCATGCAGTTTGTAACAGTCACAGATGACTCCCCCTGCCACCCCACAATATATAGGCTGTCACCACCCCAACAGTTGTTTCAGGAATTATGTTGCCATTGATTATCAGATGCCCAGCAGGAGTTAAACAACATAAGCAATTCCTCTTTAGACAAGTTCTATCATACCTCTCTGCCCCAAACATGGTCCATTAGCAATATGGACCCAGAACTTGGTACCACATACCAAGCTAAAGGCTTGACCTTGAGTTGGGGTTCTCAATCATTTTGATCCTGTGACAGCTCTAACCCTAAGCACAGCTCCCCACAGCCCATCTCCTTAATGATTCACTGGTCAGGCATGATGAAGATGCACCCTAGCTGGCTGTGCATGTGATATCTCCAAAGGGGAAGCAAATTGTCTGTGTTAGTGCAGCACTGTCACAGCAGAGCTAATTAGCCTGCCTACAGCACCATACCAAGTCAGCTATTATGTTTCCCCTGTGGAAGGCAGTTTATGCGAAACAGCTCAGAGCCTCTGCACAAAGCTTTCTTGTGCCATGGAAATGTTTGGAGAGGAGGGCTGACAGCTATAACACCATTCTTTATCCAACCCTTGAGGCCCTGAATGACCTCCAAACTGCTTCCATCGAGGGCTCAGTGCTGCACACCCTCTCTTTTATACTGGGATCCACCAAGTATAGCACCATGCAACAGCAACTTTGTCAATATACTGGAGGGAAAGA